CAAAGCCTATTAGGCAAAAACCTGAATTTAAAAGGCTCCATCCTAGAAACGGATCGGAGACGTCCGAAGCCCGTAACCAAAACATAAGCCCTTCAAAAATTCTAAACCAGTTCAAAGGCTACCCTCAGAAAAATTATAATGTAAACAAAATTACATCGAGAATGAGCCCCCACAAGCTTTAATAAAAATTACATCGAGAACGAGTCTGGTTCGAACCTACGAACAAGGCCCTATTACGACGATTTATTCCGTGCTAAGGCATTCAAAATCTTTGCAATCATAAAGAAGGAACCGAAAGAGACAAACTCAAAAATTGCCAGAGGTAAAATATCCTTATAAAGGAATATTCCGATAAAGATCTTTACAATGGCCAAATGGCCTCAACAAAATATACAAAAATACAAAAACAAATAAAAATCTAGAAGGCACTTAAGCCTAATCTTCGGCGGAGCCCACCTCGTAACCAGGGCCATCGGTATCTTCTCCGTGTTTGGGTTCACCGGAGCCCTCAAAGCCTTCCTCGTCCTCGGGGTCGGCCAACTTCTTGGCTTTGGCCGCGATCCTCTTAGCATTTTCGATCTTGGCCGATAGGTCGAAACCTCGGGCATGAACCTCCTCGAGAACCCCTTTTCGAGATTGCCACTTCACGTACTCGACAGTGACATTCAGGGGTCCTGGGCTGCCTCAGCTTCAGCTCGGTACTAGGCCACCATCTCTTCAGCATCGGCCCTGGTTATTTTCGTCACTGACTTAGCTATTTTAAACTTCTTGCCAAGGGCATCCCGTTCAACAATAGTCGAGCCCAATTGAGAGTGGAGGTCATCGATTTTTTGGGATCGAGCCTCAGTTTTCTCCCTTGCCGTTTGAAGTTGGGCCTCCACAGAGGCCAGTTTCTCCTGGGCAGTCTCCTTCTATGAAGCCAATCGATCCATTTTTCCCTTCCACTCTTTGGCCAAAGCCTTGACCTCGTTCATCTCAGCTCGAAACTGGTCGATCTGGTCAAGCTTCTGCTGGACTAACTGTTTTTGACTGTTAGTCGCCATGTCTAACTCGTCATCACTACCTTCAAAGATCTTTACCTATTCCACCAGGTAGGCATGTTCTTTTTGAGCCGCGTCCAACTACGCCCGAAGATTCTTGACTTATCCTTCGCGTTGTTCATTGAGAAACTTATACATGTCCTTCTTCTCAGCAAACTCTTTGACCTCAGTCTCGAGTTGGCTAAGCTCATCCCAGTACCAGAAAAAGGTTTCATGGTGGAGTACTGAGGCCTGCAAAAATGTGATAAAGAAAGGTATTAGAGCTATCAAAAACTAAATTCGAAGATAAAGAGTGTAATAACACCTTACACAGTTCAGTGCCTGTTGTGCTTTATTGAACAAGCATGGCACATCCACCTCATTCATTTTTGCCTGGTCTTCTTCGGTTAACAGGCACCGGAGGTAGATAGCTACCCCCATATGAGCGGAAAGAACCTGGGCATCCTCCAGGACGGGGATAACAACTAATTGCTTTAGGCCAGGATCCATGCCCAGAGCGGGGAACTGGCTGATCAACCTTGGGCTCGAGATCAGCCCACCGACCTTCAAGGATGGACTTTTACTCAGCACCTATAAGTCACCCAACCCGGAGAAGTCTTCCAGGGCGGTTGAGTCTACACTATCAAAAAAGCAACATAGGGGATCGTCCCCTCTATAAACCCCTTCATTGGATTACTCCTTCGTCGCTTGGGTTTTATAGAATATGGACTCTGTAAACGAGGGTGATCCTGAAATTTATATAACACCGAGCGGGCAGAGCTGGCATCTCAAGAGGTCTCGGCCCTCACCTCTGCACCAGCCTCATGAACTTGAAGGGGATTAGCCTCTATTGTTTTCCCCTCGGTTGTCACCCATTCCTAGGGGACAAACGACTCACAGGCCACAAAACGTTCGTCCTCCTCGAGCCCGTCCATGAGCCGGTAGAGTAAGTCTAAGTCAGGCACTCGGGAGCTGGAGATTTCTTTGGCTTACGAGCCAACCTTCTCCCTGGATTCTTTTTCTCCGAGCTCGGAGCCCTCCTTATTTTCTTCTCTCCTACTACAGCTTCGGGCTGCCTCAAAGCAGAAGGATCAGCAGATAGGTCTTCGCCCCCTACCAAGGGCCTAATCCCGATGGTCTTAGGCAAGCCTACAAAAAAGAGAAGAGAAGCAATGAAGACATAGTGTTGAAAAAGAAAGTATAGAGCTACTTGTTCAAGAAAAGGAATCTTACTATGAGAACGGGCCTCCCCGTGACCTTTAGAGAGCTCGCACCATGAGCGCTCGACATAAGGCATCTGCGAACAAATTACCTCGATCCACTCCTTGAGCCGAGGAATGGCATTTGAGACGCGAGCGAGAGCTGCACCACAACAAATACCAATGGGAAAAATGAAGATAAAACATAAAATCGACATTTAAAAGGAAGTTATACTTACATGATACGTTCTACTTCTCAAGGAATGGCCTCCACTTGGGAGGGATCAAGTCTGCGATCCTCACCCGGACAAAGTGTCCTTGCCATCCCCAATCCCGGTCCTCGTCGATACTTATGGGGCTTTGCTGGCTCAGCGTACAAGCTTTATCAGCCCCCAGAAGATTTAGGGATTGTACAAGCGAAGTAGATGATCGATGGCGAACGTGCATGAGTCAATTTTGTTCACATAGAATCGGAGGAGAGATCACGATCCTCCACAGAAATGTGTGGATCTAGCCGAGGCATATTTCATACCTCCTACAGAAGTCCAAGATGACCGGGTCCACTGGGCCCAATGTAAAGGGATACGTGTAAACACTCAAATATCCCTCAACATGGGTAATAATGTTGTCATCAGGCCCGGGAATCACTACATCCTTATCCGTCCATCTGTAGTCCTTTCAAACCATAAGAAAAACGACCTCAGTAAGGAGCATATGTACCATGACACCGCCTCACATCGACCTTGAACCGAAAAGGGCTTTTTGACCTTGAAGTCGTCATTAATCGAACAACCCCAGGGACGAACATTTTCAAGGGGGCTCAACTGCTGGTTCATCAGTGGACGCGCCCAGAGTAGACCTCTCGATGACAACCACATCAGGGGCGGTCTCCTCGACCTTAGTGGTCGGCTGCAAAGAAGAAGAAGCACCTTTCTAGGGAGCAGTCTTGGAAGTCTTCGCCATTTTTATCTAGGTAAAAAGGTTTGAAAGTGTGAAGGAAGATGAGGAGATGGAGAACAAAAACTTGCCGAGAAAATCAAGCACACTGGGTTAATGAAGGGTAAAAGAAAGATTGCAATTTGAAGAACGAAGGTAATAATATTGAAGGATGAAGGAAGTCAGCGATATCTTGAAGGATCGAAGGTAGAAGCTTGGTCAAAAGTAAATAATGAACGAAAGAAGGAGTATTTATAAATGCTTTGCGCTGTTTCGCAACCAGGAACGACCTGGCGATGGCTGACACACGTTTGGGGTCATTATGATGTGACTAACAAGTCGTTTCGATTTCTTTGTCGTTTTGTGTCACGACGTGTTAAAGAAGGGATCGAAGAACTCATGTCGTTCCTCGCCGTTGTCACACCTCCTTTTTTCCTACACCCCGAAAGGGTAGTATATATGGGAGTTTTTTCCAATTTAAGTGACAATCGAAACGGGATTATTTTATTTGAAATTCAGAGTCGCCACTTGGGATAATTTATGATGTCCCACGTCACCAGTTTAAATCCCGAAATTGAGGAAAATATTGACTCTATTATCAATATGCGAACACACAAATCCGTGTAAGGAATTCTGTTAACCCGGGAGATGGTGTTAGGCATTCCTGAGTTCCGTGGTTCTAGCACAGCCGCTCAACTGTTATAATTGGCCTATTTACTTGATTTTAGTACATGTTTTAGCCTATGGTGCAATTTTAACTTATTAACCGCTTTTAATTAATTTTAGGAAGATTCAACGTCATCTAAAATACGTCTTGAACCACGTCACATAAATGCACCTGTGATCCATGACACATTTTATCTAGCCTTGTTGAGATTTGAATTTGGGTCACATAAATGCACACCCGAGTTTAAGGAAGTTAGGCATCGTAACTATGTCAGGAAACCGTACCCACAATCACGATGGTTTATTACTCGCGCCTAAATCAAGCTACGATGTTCAGAATTATTTCTTTTTCTAAATTTGAGGTTATTGCAAAGCCACGAATTATGAGAATCATTTGTGGAAATGGGGTTAGTCATTGATTCAGTAACAAACTCAAGTCCCTACGCATGTTAACAATTATGCATTCATCAGACCATGGACAAATCAATAGACTATTGAGAGTGAAATAACGTTCCAAGTTCGAGTGAGCTTATTACATATATAAATCAATGTAAATCATAACAATTTTGCAAGTCTGGCCAAACAAATCCAAACATATGCATTCATTACATTTAAACATGATTCTCAAAGTTCCTCATGATACGAAGGAGGCTCAGATTTTGCATATGCTTCTTCTTTTCATATACTGGCAAAAGGTTGTCTACTCCTCTTAAAATATAACTTAATGTCGTACTTCATTATGTTTCTGGGAAAAAATGTCGACATATTCTTTGTCTGTTGGAGGCTAGATGGATAAAAAGCCCAATATACTATTTTTAACCGAGTCTCATAGTCATACAGAGTTTGCAATAGCGGATGGAATTTAACAGTAGGAACATCAAACTAATACTAGGGAAAACAATAAAATTAAGCAAATAAATGTCAGCATTTGAGCAACGAATAAATCATGAAAGTGCAGAACAACAGTAGAAACCAAACGACACGGATTAACAACTAACTCCAATTTTAAAAAACTCAGACCCAAGTCATTAGCATAACTTAGTCGTTAACATATAAACACCAATAAAACAGATCTAATAATCGAAAGCATGATTCCAAGAATGCAATTCAATTTCAGCACCATAAAAACTATAACATCTTATAAAACTCAGCACATTTAGCGAGATATAAGAACATTTACCTTGAATTTATCACAAGAAGAAGGAAATGAACCCAAATAAAGGTCAAGAAAATCGAAGAGAGTTCAGCTACGCAGATACAACAGCTTCAACAATGAACAACGGTGATTTTGACTCTGAGAGACAACTAGAAATCCAGATTTTTAAGAAATTCCTCTTCTTTAGCTTTTCAAATCCGATTTTGGAATTTTCGCTTCTTTCTTTTGACTTCTTCAACCAGATCTTCAAGGGCGTGCACGAATATGAGTTAAAGAAAAAGAAAGAAGAATGAGAGGGAGGGGGTCGTTATTAGCTGCTGAAGATTAGGGTCCGATGGTTAGCTTGTGAAGAAGATAGAGCAGCCCGGTTTTTGGTATAAGGGTCTAATCTCTGTTCTGATCCTCCTCCCCTTTAGGTCTAGATATATGAGGGTTTTAATGAAGGGAATTGGGCCGGGTAGGAAAGTTTTGGGCCACGAATTAATGGCCCAGATCTGACTCTTTTCTTATTTTGTTCCCTTTTCCTTTTCAATTCAATTTTCCAAAATTCTTTTAAATTAAAATTTTAAAAATAAAACCTAAATTAATCCCTAATCAAATAATCCTTATCAAATTAAATTAACTAACTCTAAATAATAATTATCACAACTATTTAATTCCCAAATTAAAGAAAGCGACGAAATTCAAAAGCGCAAAAATAAATTATTTTTGTGATTTTCCTTTTTATAAAACAACTTAATTAATTAATTAATCCTAAAATGTCGCATTAAATCCTAAATGCAAATGTACATATTTTTGTATTTTTCATTAGTTAAATAAAATAAAATAAACATGCACAGACAAATGCAAACATTTAACATAAAATGCCACGAAAATCAATAAAATTGCAAATAATGAAAAGAAATTATTTTGTTTTGAAATTATGAGAGTAATTCATATAGGGCTAAAAACACGAAGAGTTTTCATGCAAAGATAAAGTGAGCGAATTTGAGTGATTTTTGCCCGTTTGAATGCTCCATGAGAAGCATTTTTGAAAGATTTAATTGCACCCTACTTCCGAGGTTGCCTACATATCCTTGGCAAGAAAGGAATCAGGTTAATGTAGTTTAGGAATGTCTGGTAGCTGGGACTACCATAAAGCTGTGATTTCACTATTGTTGCCGCTGCTAGTGCTTGTTGAACCTCCTTATTACACCATAATAAAATAAAAGAAGCTAGCCTAGTCTATGATCTATGCATTACAAAATCCTATCTATATCTTCAAACTTGCTCTTGTGGTTCCTGTTGCCTTGTTGACTTGTATTCTCCCGGTGGAATCCCCTTGTTGCCGCCTTGAATTGTAATCGGAGATGTTTTCCTTTCTCCAGGTGGACACCCACTTGCTGAAACTTGAATGTATTCTCTTGTTCTCCAGGTGGGCTCTTGATTGCTGAACTTGAAATATATTCTCTTGTTCTTCAGGTGGGCGCCTGATTGCTGAAACTTGAGTGTGTTTCCATGTTTTCCAGGTGGGCGCCTGACTGCTCAACTTGAAATGTATTCTCTTGTTTTCCAGGTGGGCGCCTGACTGCTCAACTTGAAATGTATTTCCTTGTTTTCTAGGTGGCGCCTGATTGCTGAACTTGAAATGTATTCTCTTGTTTTCCAGGTGGGCGCCTGATTGCTGAACTTGAAATGTATTCTCTTGTTTTCCAGGTGGGCGCCTGATTGCTGAACTTGAAATGTATTCCCTTGTTCTCCAGGTGGACACCTGATTTCAAGAAAACTAAACATTGATAACTCAAGAAAACTAAAAATTGACTTTTTTTTTTTCAAATCCAGACTTCCCTTTTTTTTTTTCAAAATATCCTAGAAGAAAATTCGTTAGACTAGGTTTTCTATCTTAGGAGAAAAATTCATCAGACNATTCTTAAGAAAACTACAAAATTGACCCATTTTTTCAAATCCAAACTTCCTCTTTTTTTTTTTTTTTTTTTTTTGGTATCTTAGGAGAAAGATTCATCCGACTAAGACGTTTATCCTAGGAGAAAATTCATCAGACTAGGTCTCTATTTTGATCATAGGAGAAAATTCATCAGACTAGGTTTTCTTATCCTAGGAGAAAAATTCATCAGACTAAGATTTTTATCCTAGGAGAAAGTTTATCAGTCTAGGTCTTCTATCTTAGGAGAAAGATTCGTCAAACTAAGATTTTGATCATAGGAGAAAATTCATGAGACTGTTTTTCTTATCTTAGGAGAAAAATTCATCAGACTAAGATTTTTATTGGGAGAAAAATCCATCAGACTAGGACTTTTATCCTAGGAGGAAAATTGTGAAAAGCAATGGCAAAATTTTATGCACATGCACACAAGTAAAGGCAATGATTTGAGAAACTTCCCTTTGTCGGATCTTCTCTTCTCTTCTTTTTTTTTGAACCACTTTCCTTGCACTGCTTTGTTCCTGTTTTAAACAAAGAAAATTTTGTCAGTTTCAAAAGTGGTGGTCGGTTCGTGGCCTTGACGTCTTTGGCAGCTTGGCTTCTGTTCAATCAGCTTGAGTCGGTTTCAAGAGACTCTTGCTCTGCATCAATCTTAATTGTTTCATACCCAGTACCATTTGTAGTTGTGGCTCAATCAGCCTTATCCCAATTGGAGATCTTTGCTTAGGTGACCTTTTCTGATATCTTGAATGACTTTCTACTTTTTGAGCAATTTGTTTATCAGAGAGAATCACAAGTTATCTTTGTTTACGCCAAGCAAGCTGAAGAGTCTTTTGGGGGAGCCTTTGTATGAATCCTCAAGGTATGTTGACATTAACAACTGAGTTTGCTGGCCAAATTTACTTTGTACAACTGAAAAGCTGGTAGCAGATTTTGAAATCTTTTCTTGCTTGTTTTGAGAAGGACTGACTCAGGGTGAATGACACAATGGCGCAAAGAAACAAATATTAACAAGAAATGCCCCGGTCGGGAAGGATAGGGGAAGAGTTTTTTTTTTCGTTTTTTTTTATTTTGCACTAACTAGCCTTAATGATCATGACATGCATTTTGGACTCAACGGCCTGATCTATCAAACTGATCTAATCTTCCCTTTTACCATTTTGACCTTTAAATTCGGGCTTGTTTGTGCCAATTCTTTGCATTAACTTCACGATTCACTTTTGACTAGTGGTGCCCCGAGGGATTTTCACCTACAAGTCTCTCTCATTTATTCATCTCTGCTTACCATCGCCTTACAGTGCACGTGAGGGTTTTCACTAGCAAGACTCTCTCATTTTTTTTCTCTTCCTCTTTTCTCTGTTGCTTTCTTGAGCAACTTGACAGTGTTCTATGTCGTGTGACAACTGTTGCTCATTGCATGCTTCTCTTGGCATTCTTAAAGGTATATCGGGAGGTCTTTATTTGGAAGGATTTTGGATAGGATTGGAAAGAAGGGTCGGCATGAAAGGTCAAAATAGACTCATAATGAGGGGTTATGGACTTACAACTCTTGGAATTGACTCCTTCAAAAGTGAAATAAAATCTCTGCCCCAGTTTCAGCTATTGGGGATTTTTTTGGGTTTTTTCTTTTATTTTTTTCTCTTTTTTTTTTTTTTTTCT